CATGGCAAATACATCAGAGATGGGACAGGCACTTGGTGTAGTGGTTAAGCTGCCAATTGAGAGATGACTACATTCCATATTATGTTAGACCCTCAGAGTGAGGATGCTAACACGTCGAGAGGCACACCCCAGAGACTCAGACTCCAGACCAGCTGATGCAAAAGCAAGAGGATTTATTCGGCATCTGCACAGATGGGCCTCCTGAACTCAGGAGTCCAGAGAGCGCGCCCAGCACAGAGCCACACAGTTTATATACCCGCAGCGACCAATCAAAAGCACTATAGAGTCCATGCACACAGCACTCCAATCCGTGAGCTGATCATGTGAAGGGCATGCGTCTTCTATCCAATCAGCTGCGGGATCACATGGGAGGCATGCACCTCATCGCCATTTTGTTGTTTACTTCTTCAGCAGTTCCTTTCCCTGTCAGCGCCATCTTGTTCACCCTGAGGAGGACGACTTCTCGCTCCCTTTGTTCCCCTTGTGGGAGAGCGGCGTCCCACTTTCCACACCGTTATTTGAGTATTAGGAGGTATACAAACTGGGTTAGGTCTTAGCACAGCCAGGCACAAGTGTCTCAGCTAGCTAAGCATAGGGTCCCTTATAAAAAAAAAAAAAAAAAAAAAAAAAAAAAAGAAGTGGGACAACCAGGATACGAACTAGCACCCATATGGGATGCTGACACTGCAGGCAGTGACTTAACTTATTGCACCATAACACCAGCTCTTAAAATTACTTTTGATCAAAAGATAACATTACATGAGTAGAAGACACTTGCAATCTATAACTGACAAAGGTGTTTAACCAGAACATATAAAGAGCTTTTATGAATCAATAAGAACAAGTCAGGCAGCTCAATAGAAAAATGAGCAAATATTTGAACAAGCACTTCACAAAACAGAGAATTCAAATGGCCAACTTCATTAGTAATCAGGGATACAAAATGAGATCACAGTGAGCCACCATCAAACATGCACAAGACTGACCAGAAATAAGAAAGCTAATAATATGGTTTTTGGCTAGGATATGGAGCAATTGGAACTACCATATATCTCTGATAGGAATGTTAATTCTATGACCACTTTGGAAAAAGAATGTGGCATTATGCAATAAAGCTAAACACAAGTATATGTGACAATTCCACTCCAAGGTTTATGCCATTAAAAAAAAAAAAAAAAAAAGATCTTCTGGCCCATAGTGAGTAAAGCCACCACCTGCAGTGCCAGCATCCCATATGGCACCAGTTCAAGTCCCGGCTGCTCCACTTCCGACCCAGCTCTCTGCTATGGCCTGGAAAAGCATTAGAAGATGGCCCAAGTGCTGGCCCCTGCACCCACGTGGGAGACTCAGAAGAAGCTCCTGGCTCCTGCACTCAGAACCGCCCATCTTTGTCCATTGTGGCCATTTGGGGAGTGAATCAAAGGATGGAAGACCTCTCTCTCTGCCTCTGCCTTTCTGTAACTCTGCCTTTCAAATCAATAAATAAATCTTTTTTTTAAAAAAAAGTCTGCATTTGTATACCAGGTGATATACACAAAAATGTTGTTAACAATACTGTTTGTAATGACTCTAAACTGGAAACACTCCACATGTATATAGTACCACAATGGACAAAAAAGTAAGATATGTTCATGTGAAGGAATATTAGATGGCAATGAAATGAATGAACTGCCACTACATGCAACCAAAGTGGATGGCTCCCACAAGCACAGCCAAATGAAAGAAGTCAGACACCTAGAAACATGTGTGTGTCACACTGTGTCATTTACAGAAGCTAAAAAACAAGGGAAACCAAACTCTGGGGTTTTGAGATGCCTTAGGAATGGATAAAATTATAAAGACATATCAAGAACTAACTACCATAAAGTCAGGATGTCTGTTGCTTTTCAAAGGGGGAATGTCGCTCCCCACTCGCGGAGGAACGACACCGGACCCTGCACTGTTCTCTTTGCCCGGCCCTTCCCGGGTTTGCTGCCCCCCCGCCCCGCCCCGCCCCGCCCCACCCCGCCCCACCCCCCACTTCCGTGGAGGAGCGGCACACCGCCGGCCGGCTCTCTCAGGGGTTCCTCAGATGTTCCTCCTGCATGTTGTCTCTCTCCTCCTTTATAGTCCTCTTCCACCAATCCCAACTCTGCTGGCGTTCTCTCCCCATGCGCTGAGCACGCTGCTCTCCTCCAATCAGGGGCAGGATCAGCTCCTGCAGCTTGTTAGTAGAACTGGTGAGGCAGCTGTGTGGAAGTTGTTTACTCTCTCTCAGCGCCATATGGCGGGAGATCAGATGCATAGAGTTACTCTTAATAATCTCAGTGGTCTAGTCCAGTCTCGGCAGAGTCAGAACTTAATTTGTGCATAGGCTCAGGTACTTATTTGTCTCCTGGGCACCTCGCCATGTTGCGGGAGACGGGCCCTGCTCCCCACAGGGGAGGAAACATCTGGCCCACAGAATCACCTGGTGTGGACTGGCCAAGGCACCTGCAGGCGGGTCTCAGAATTCCACACACCTGCAGCAGGCTGATGTTTAGCTGGGTAATTGTGTATGGTCCGTGAATGATGCTACACATGTCCAAATGGCCCTTGGCAGAATAAAGGTTCCCCAGCCCCGCGAAGGAAGAGCTATAAGGCATAGCAAGAGAGCGGGAGACGCAGATCTTCCATTCGCTGGTTCACTCCCCAAATGGTGGCAAGAGCCAGGTCTGCGTCAGGCTGATGTCAGGGGCTAGAACATAACACAGGTTTCCCTCTCCCTCTCGGGTGGCAGAGTTCCGAACACTTGAGCCATCCTGGGCTTCCTTCAGGCCCATTAAGCAGGAAGCTGGATGGGAAGCAGAGCAGCTGGGACTCAAACCCCAGGTTTAACCCTCTGAGCCACAATGCTGGCCCCTGTTTTTCCAATAAGTAGCGATGAGTTGAGAGAGGAATGTAGGTTTTTTGAGATTTGACTGCTAAAAACAAGCAGCACGTGAACTCAAGTATTTAAAATTTACAAAAGAAAAGAGAGACGGAGGGGGAGAGGAGGAGAGAGGGAGATGGAGAGATGGAGAGAGAGGGAGACAGGGAGAGAGAGGGGGGAGAGAGAGGGAGAGAGGGAGGGAGAGAGGGAAAGAGGGGGAGAGGGAGAGAGGGAGATGGAGAGACAGAGGGAGAGAGGGAGATGGAGAGACAGAGGGAGATAGGGAGAGAGAAGGGGGAGAGAGAGGGAGAGAGGAAGAGACAGAGGGAGAGACGGGGAGAGAGGGGGAGAGGGAGAGAGAAAGAGAGAGGGAGAGAGGAATAGGGAGAGAGGGAGAGGAGGAGAGAGGGGGAGAGGGAGAGAGCAGCAGTACATCTGTTACAATGAATGTGTGTAGCATGCCTTGGATGGCTTTGGTTTCTTAAAATTGTGCATAAGGAATAATTACTAGGAATATTAAAAGTCGCTCCTGCAGCTCGCTTACTCCTTACAAGTTAGACAGAGGCTGACGGTCCATGACTTTTTTCAATGTGCTGGAGGGAGTTTTGCTTTGCTTTTGTTTTTCAAATCGTTACCTTGATCCTGATCACCTTCCCAGTGAATCCTCTACCCCGGGTACCGGAGAAACCGAGCAAGTTCTTCAAAAAGTTGGAGGAAAATACGTATCGTAACTATTGCATTTCAAAGATTTTGCTCTATGATAAATTTTCAACCCCATTTCCCACAAACTTTTTGGAGCCCCTTGATATCTGTTGCAGCGGGAACACCCCTGTGGGGCCTTGGACCCGGGTGGCGCCGGCCGAGCCCTCCGTGGTCCGCAGCCAGGAAGGCAGACCCAGGAGGAGCCATCAGCCTCGCGCGGGGACAGGGCCCGACGCCAGCAGCTCTGTCGCCGCTCAAAGCCCTGGCGTTCGCCGCGCCCTCTCTGGGTTGCGGGTTTCGGAATTCGCCGTTCGGGGCACCGCACAGCAGCAAGAGGGAGAGTCTAGGCGCGAATCTAGGGCGCCGCGACCGTGACCGTGGCCTGCGTTCCGCGGCCCTGCTTCCCCCTGCAGAGCCTGGCCACACCGATTCGTGTCTGCCCTGGGACCCTCGCCGGCGGGGACATCCAGGCGCGGGCCGGAAACAGGAGAACGGGCAGTCGGTCACCAATGGACAACGACACACCCTGGTCCCCGGGATCCTCGCTGTCTGCAAATTGTGCGTGTTGGGCCGCCTCTGCAGCGCGCAAAGTTCCCTGCGCTGGGGCGCCGGCTCCCGAGTTTATATTTCTTGGGGAAAAAGGCCGAGGGGAGTGGTTCTGCAGGCTCCAGCTGCGCCCCGGCGCAATCGTCCTCTCTCCTGGGGCTCTCCCCCAGGACTCCGGCCAGCGCCAATCAGGTTGCGCGGTACCTGCCCCCAGCCCGGCCACCTGGAGCGGCGATGGGGCTCTCCGCGCGCCGCGCCGGGGAGGGCCGAGCAGCCTCACGTGGGCCTCCCCAGCAGCCGGCGCCCGGAAGGGCGCGCGCAGACCCCGTGGGAGAGGGACGCGGGAGCCGCCGCCCGGGCGCAGCTGCTGCGCGCGGACAAAGAGCAGGGGGCGGGGCGGGGCGCCCGCGGGCCGAGGACCCCGCCGCGGCGCCGGCTCCCCGCGCGCCCATGCGCTCGGCCGGCTGTGCTTCCGAGGGCGCCGCGACACTCGGGTAAGAGCGCCCCGGGAACCACCTTCCTCTGCCCGCCCCAAGCTTGAGGTCGCCGTGCGCGACTGGGTCTGGGTCGGCTCTAGGCTCTCGCCATCCACGGAGGGGCGCGGGCTCGCGGGGGGCGTCTCCAGCCTCGGAGTCGCCGGGTCACCGTCCCCGTGCCGCGCCGTAGCCCCTCGCCTCGGCTCGTCTCCGACCTCACGCGGGCGCCGAGGCTGCGCCCAGCCTCCCGGGATCACCCGGGGACCACTCGGCCTCCCTCGCGGGAGCGCAGGGGCGCGGGGCTGGGGACCGTGCGTGAGTGGGCGCGGGGCTGGCGCGCGCTACCGGCTGCTCCGCCGCCGTCGGTCTTTGCGTCCTGGCTCGTGCGGGCGACTCTGGGCAGCCCTGGGACCTGGGCCGCGTTTGGAGACGATTTTTCTGAAGTTTCACCAAATAACGAGTGCTCTCGCGGCGCAGGGTAGCAGCCAAGCGGCGGGGCCTGCGGGTAGAGGCGCCTCTGCCAGCGATCCAGCCCCGCGCCAGCTGGAGGGCGATCGCCTCCCTAAGGCCGGGCCCTCTCTCGGGGCCACTGTCCGCTCGCTCCGAGGCCCCAGAGTGGGCGTGCGGGGTCTCCGGCGGCCCTGTGCAGCCGGGACAAGAGCTGGCGCGGGGACCGCGGAAAGCAGCGTCGGGAACAGGCCCGCACGGTGCTGCTCGGGCGGTCACCTGGAGTCAGGAGCACCGGGGGCCGCGCGGGACTGGAGATGTGGTCCCTCTGCCGCGCCCCAGGGCCACACGCACCGCCCACGTCTTGGTGTGCTACGGAGGGTTTCTGCTTCTGCGGGTGGATCCGCGGGGTCCTGGAAGTTGGCTTTTCCGGGCAGGTTAAACGTGGGCGTGGTGCAGCCACCAGGCCCCAAGTTGGTTGGGGGACTTTCTCCTGTCCTCTAGGGTCTGACCCTCCAGCCCCACGCTCCGTGCTTGGCCACACTGGAGCACCCGAGTTGGGGTGGGGTCCTCAGGGCAGGCTACAGGGCCTCGAATCTGGATAGGCAGCAGCGGACGTCTGCGCAGCCAGATCGCTATGCCCTGTTTGTCCTCCAGCGTCTGAAAGAGCCCTGCGTTTTGTATTGTGTGGAAACAGACTTGAGACGTGCTGCTGTTCACTGTGTCTCGGGGGAGGGGTTTGCTGTCTCCGGGGAGGGGGAAGGCCGAGGTGGATCCTCTGAAAACATTACCAGACCTTTCCCGGTGCCGGTTCCCGGGCCGGAGGGGATCCTAAACCAGTACATGGTGGTGGTGGTGGTGGTGGTGTGGGGAAAGGGTCCATGTTTTGGCGTCTCTGCTGGTTCGGCCATAGCGTCGGGCAAGTCGACTGCAGCCCGGTGTCGCCCAGCCACCATCCACTTACACTCACCAACCAGAGGTTGCAGGGAGACAGGCAGGGGCCTGAATGGGAAACGAGTGGGCGGTCACATTTCTAGGCAGAAACCCTAGCGTGGGCCCCACTAGCACTCCCGCCTGCATTGGGTGACCTCATCAGAAACAGCATTCTGCAAAGGCCAAGGCCAAGGCGGACTCTCGTGCTGCTGAGAGCAAGGGGTCTCTGTTGTGTCTCTGGCTGCCCGACTGTAATTGGAAATGAGGGCTGCTTGGTCCCAGGGGTGCCTCAGCCTGCGTGCAAGCGTCATCTGGCAACAGGGCAGTCTGGCCCGGAAGAGCCCAGCCCTCGGGTAGAAGGGCTGAGGTGGCTGGAGAGGAGCTGGGCGTCCTCTGGGTGCCAGCTAAGGGAAGAGCCGTTCGGCCTTGGCTGAGCCCCGGCAGGGTCTGTCAGGTGTGAGAAGTGCCCTGGGGTTTATCATCATCACTCACTCACTCGGTATTACGTATTACTCGGTATTACTCTGTATTACTCGTGTATTACGGCACCTCCTGTGTGCCAGGCACACGCTTTGCAAAAACAATATTGCTATCCTCATTTTCCGTGAGTTCGGGGGAGACTACATAATTTGCTGAGATCAAGCTAGTCATTGGCAGCGCTGAGCTTGGAGCCATGTCTCTGCTTCCACCATCCTCCCATTAGAACAGGTACAACGCACAGTAGCTGCAGACCCAGAGCCATCACGCATAGAGACTGGTATCTGTAGACTCCAGGGTGTGTGTGTGTGGCTCCATTCAGCTGCAGGGGAGGGGCTGGCCTGGTAATACTGGATGCCCTTGATTCGCTCCAGGACTCAGGGCTTGGGTGTGTACCCAGAGGCTTGCAGTCTCAGATACGAAGTGCAGACTGCAGTGATGGGCACACTCACCTACCTTGCGGTTAGCGAACACCAAAAAGCTGGATAAGCTGTGAGGTTCTGGACAGACAGGCGCTTGGATGAATGTGGCTGACGAGAGAATGGATCGGTATAACATCTTTGGAGGGCATTTTGGAAACACCTGTCATGGTTAGAAGTGTGCACGCCATCTGACCCAATGATTCTGTTTCTAGGAATTTAACTTGCTGTTGTACTGGTGTATGTATGTATGAACTCAAGGATACAGGTACATAATAGCACGGTTTGAGCTATGAAAGAATAACCCAGGTGCTCACCCAAGGGGGTCTTGTTTCCTATGTGATGGTACATCACGAGGGTCTAATGCTGTGCTTTAATTCTTCAGAGTGAAGAATGTTACTGGATGACTGATACAGAGTTACTTCCAAGCTCTATGGCTAAGTGGAAAATGCAACAATGTATAGGATGTGTGTGATATGCTACTTGATACAGGAAAGGAAAGGAGACTTCTAAGACGCTGGCTTGTATATGCCCAACTACAGACACAAACCCTGTCTGTTGCCCCTGGAAGCGTGGACCTGCATAGCCTTTTGTAGCTTTTCAGTGTTGGACCATGTGACTGTACTAACCATGGAACAATCCTTGCCTAACTACAGATGTGTTCCTTCTGCAGCTGAACAGTGTGGGGCGATGCCCCCATCCCCTCCAGCTTGCTGGAGAGGTTCCCTTCAAATTAAAAGCCAAGGGGCTGTGAGACCACACGGGGCCCAGTATCTGGGCCATCCAAAATCCCTTTGAAACGTGCAGAGTTGCTTAGAAATCTGTGGGGAGAGGTGTCCTTGGACAGCAGGCTCTCTGAGCCCGGTAAGCAAGATCTGATCATCTGGCTTGAGAATGACATGAAGAAACAGAAACACTCCTCCCCCCTTTGCTGCCCCGTTCCCTGGTGCGGGATGACATACCAGTGACTGGACAGCATCAGGAACAGGAGCAAGAGGAACCTTGTGTTTGGATGGCAAGGGCAGAAGATATGTAGGAGGTCTATTTCTGGTATTGCGTTTGAACCTCCAAAGGGGGAGGAAAGGAGATCCACTTGAAAGAGAGGGTTTGAACATTACGTGGGGTCCGGAGCTGCACTAGCCCCGGAGGAGCACCAGCCACGGGGGTGCTGGCTGCGTCCTGCTGTTTCCCATCAGCACAGACGTGCAGCCCGGTTCCCTCCCCCGCTGGAGTTCCCTTCCGAGCCTGGAAGCCAGTGGACACGGGCAGCAGACGGGGGCAGGCATTAGAAACTGCCTTCCCTTTTGCAAGTAGGGTGGGCTGCTGAACAGCAGAGGCGGTGGAGGAGACCCTTGCTTCCAGCTACCTATGGTGGGTCCTCCAGCCCCGTTAGGGGGAAGCCTTTGAGAGCTTTCTCTGTTCCAGTCTCTCTGCTGAGCACTGTTACCTACACTGTCTCCTTCAGGCTCCTGAGCTCAGGAGGGACAGCCCAGGCTCTTTGGTGTCGAGCCATGTCTCCTCGGGCTGTCCTCGCTCTGACTTTCCATCTCCTCCACAGTGACCTGCAGCACGGGCCCAGTGGCGTCACACGGCTGCTTACGACCGGGTTTGGGTTATAACGGCGTGGGGCTGGGCTTTGATGGATGAGTTGGAATCTCTGCGATACGCGTAGATCTGTACAAGGCACGGTTCAGGGCCGAAGTAGTCCATATGCTGGGTTCGCGTCTCTTACTTTTGTCTCTGTGTGTGCGTTAGTGCTGTGTGCTCCAGGGAAGAGGGGCGGGGAAGATGCCACCGCTTTGGGCCAGGCGCCGGTAGTGAGGGAGGCTGTGCAGAGGGGCTTGTGAGGCCGTGTGTCTGCACGCAGCAAGCAGGATCGGCAGGGGCGGCCGCTGAGCCTGCCCTCAGCGCTGGGAGCCGCTCTGCTGTTTGGAAAACGCAGTCTGGGAGCCGGGAGCCGGGCTGGCTGTGAACCTCCTCCTCCTCCCACGCGGCTCGGTAGCCAAGGCTCACCTCTGACCCCCATTCCATTTCAGAAAGAAACAGCTTGAATTTGTCCCTAGATAAATTCTAGAGCGCACGAGGCAGCTGCCTTTTCTCTGTGCTGCTTTTTGCTCACAGGCCTGGAAACCAGAAGGCAGCCCCGGGCTCTCAGCGAAGGCGGCCAGGACCCAGCCAGGGGAGGGGAAGCTGCAAAACTGCTCTAGGGAAATAATACTGCTACAAAGTTACCTATGACCAAAAAAAATATGTATGTTTACATAGCGTACTGGTAGTAGATGATCAGCTTAGCACATCTGAATTCAGAAAATGCCTATTGGTCAAGGCACTGGGCAGACAGAGATGAGCAAGGCATGGTCCCCAGGCTCCGTGAGCTCAGGCTGCTCACAAGGCGGCGTGGGAGGGGAACATGTGGACATGCTGTCAGGTGCAAAGGGACTAAAGCAATCGGGCTGGCGCAGGCAATTTGGAGAGAGTAGTGAGGTCTCGGAAGAAGTGATGTGTGAAATGGCCTTTGAAGATAAAGTATAATTTTGATAGACAAGCTCAGGAGAAAGGGCAGAACTCAGAGAACAGCTTGGGCAAAGGCATAGGGTTACAATAGAAATGAAATGTTTAAAGAAAACATCTACTGAAGGAATGCCTTTATACAGTTTCTGCCCTGGACATGCTATATGGCATTTTAAAGCACTTAGAGAATGAAATTGTTTATCCCCATAAAATAGTCACCATGTATTGTTT